AAAAGTAAGAAAGAGGTAAAAAGAAMGTTTAAGGAATAAGTTAAAACAGAATCTTTCACTTTATTACTATTGTAAAAAACATAATAATTAAACTGTCACTCAGCCAATATTTATGAGCAATATTTTGGAAAATAAAAGTAGTGTAATCTTGAAAAAATGTAAACAAAATATGGCAGAAAAATGAAATAAAAAGTTTCACAGAGTTAACTTAAAATGTTAGCCTGTAAATGGCTTTAACACATAAGAAGACTTGGCTTTTCATAAGATATATAGAGTAAAGATGAAATAAAATAAAAAGGGTACTCCTATATTGGCATAAAAAATAAAATAAGCAAAATTAGATAAAGGATAATTCAAAAAGAGAAATCAAATCATAAGATTTAAAWACTAATCTGTCACACGCTTTAGAAAATACTGAATACTGATAATAAATATTGGCTGAGGCAAAAAAACAACGAACAAACAAACCAACCTTGATAAAATAAAAACAAGAATTTCACAATAAAACAAATAAAAATCATAACACAAAATAACAAAATATCAAGCCAACAACAAAATTTTATTCAACACAGTTCTAAAAGATTATAAGGGGACGTATTTACAGGTTACAGTGGTTTAAATATTATAGGATTATAATAGTATTGCTAATGTATTAAGAAATATCTTGCAAATGTTTTAAATATTATTAATAACTTAATTGATGGATATAATTTTATTTGTTTATTGTGATTTACTGTTTTAGGTTTATTCATTTTCTGGTTTAAGTAAATTTTTAAAAAYTATTTTCATTCTTTTGATTTTAAGTTGAAATTTAAATAGGAGTTTGTTTATGTGGACAGAGATTTAAAAATTWGACTTTGGTAAAAGTAAAATAGGGATTTTAATTAAGCTTAATAATTATCATTTCATGCAAATGTGTAGTTCCAGAAATTATCCATACCTCCCAACGGAGAAATTTTGAAATTCTGAGGGATAGGAGGGTCAGAGAAAGAACAAAATTAGAGTTTGCATGGCAGAAATTTGGAATTTCTTGGGGGTAGGGGGTCTGAAAAAATTCCTCTGGGGGGGGGGGGGGGGGGGGGGGGGGGAAGATAGATATATCCTGGAATTACACACTCTGATATCAATGTGATAAAATGTTAACAACTATTTAACAGTAGTTACTTTTAGGCTTGATTTATAAACAAAAAATTCTGATTTATCTGGGCAATGTTTAAATAGGTTATAATATCTTAATTGTTTAGTTCTATTTGTTTAGAGTATTTTTCATTGATTATACTTGAAAATCTTATTAATATAGTGTAGCAAGTTGGCCTTTGAAATAATCCTGTATAATTCATCAAATCCATATTATGATTCAGAAATTTCAAATTTTCCAAAAATTATTTAATCTAGATATTCTCTTAACCATGCATGGCCGCAGAATTTTAGTAGCTGTCAAATATTTGATGGTAGCACCAATTTTTTTCATTTAATAATTTTTTTGTTCCTATTTATTTATTTATTTGATATCATTAAAATATTATTTGCAAAGACTAGGAAAGTTGAAAATGAGATAATACTGATACACCAAAATTAATGCAAATATTTGGTCAAAACTGAATTGCTATTGTTTTGGACTGTCCAGCTTTTCACATGTGTGAGAGGATAGTTAGATGATAGCTAGTCTAGAACTGATACTGTTTTCAGATTGGTCCCCATATTTGCATTGGGTGTAKGCTTTTGATCAAATGCTGTATGTATGACATGTGTAGAGTAGAGACAGAGAGTCTCCTTGCTAGTATAATCTTGTCAAAGCCTAATACAATGGTGCCATGAATATTATCACACTGATCTTAAAAACTTGGATTTTGGTGGACAAGATTAAAGAAAGGCCAACTGCATTGAAAATTAATTTAACTCAGTCAATATTTTAAATTGAAATAATAATTGATTACTGTTACAGCTAGTACATTTAAACACTTTTTTACAATACCTAATTATGACAACCCCCCACTGAAAAAAATAACACTTATCTCCAAATTGAACAAAAAATTATAACGATATGATTTTATATTCTTTTTGTCATAAATAAATTAAACATTTAGTGCCAAYTGGATTGATTTAACTCAATCTCTGGTTGATAAACTAACTATTGGTAATTCTTTTGTTTTTCAATTAAGGATTGTACAACACACTTACAAACACTTACATGACATACACAAATTTATTTTTTTAACATTGTCATCTTGAAAGACTTAAACATGTCACCAGTCTCATACTATACACTCAACTGCAAAAATCTTTGTCGGGTTAAAAAAATATATATATATCGAAGCTGAAATAATTTATGAACATTCTACAAGTTGTATCACTAGATACATCTACTTAACTTACTTCCCATGTATTATTTTGGTCTCAGCTCCTATGTTCTATGTTCTTGAACTCGACAATGATTTTTGCAATTGAGGGTATAGAACTATAGCTACATGTAACTATGTATGATAGCATTAAGGCACAGGTATCTAGGTGCTTGTGAGGAGCTCCCTCCCTATCGTCCAATCAGCATCGTTGCCATGATCATGTTCAAACAACATACAGCACTGCTGTGCTGACGGCACTTCTGGTGACAATAATTTCATAATGCGCTCGGCTGTGTGATATATCATAGCAAATACATGTGTCAGTTGAGTGGTTAATAGTACCTTGGAGCACAGAGAAGGTACTAGAGAAATTCTTTAGTCTAACTTAGATCACAAACAACCAAAGACCTGACCATCCTATCAAACATTTTACTTGTAACTATGACACACTGTCTGGGCCTTATGAGCTTTTATATACAGCACAAAATATTTATAGAATATTATACAAAATAGCATTGAGCGCAGGGACCACGRCCTCATTTAGTAAAAACCTATTTCCATGCAGTACAGAGAATATGGAGGAAAATCAAAAACGAAATGAAGCTCGCTTGAACATTCTTTTTACAGTTATAAGTGTTGTGTAGCAATTTTTTTGTCTTAGCTATGACACAACTATATGTAAGTCAACTTCACTAGACAAACCAATGCTTAGGTAAATCGTAATTTATTTAAAGAGTCACACCGATTAAAGCCGAGTTCTTTTACCAAACACTTCAAGTGTCTTGAAGTATGATCAACTTATACAGCAACTGCTATCTTTTCTATGTTGTTTAGATCTTTGTCTAGACTTCCGTTCTTTTTCTCGTTCCTGTTTTTTTCTATGTGGCCTAGTTGGCTGTAAATCCTGTAATGGGCTTACGAGTGGGATGTCAGTGTACCTAGGGTGTTTTACCGGTAAAGATAATAACTTAGGAGGAGGTTCATCAAGGCTATCTCTATCACATTTTTGTAATTCAATTATTTTTTCCTCTTTCATAGTGTTAACTTTCTCCTCCAGTTTTTCTAGAGCTACTTGGAGGTCTTCAGTCAGCTTTTTTAGACTTCTATTCTCTTGCTCAAGTTGTAAAGTGGCAAACCTTTCATGAAGATCATTCGAGCTGATATGATTTAACTCCGAGTCTGGCAAGCTCAGTGTTCTATGGAGTTTTTTTCTAGGCTTAACAATATCATCGTAAGATTTATCGGTCTCAGACGGAAGTCCCGAATCCTCATCCTCAAACTTGTAAAAACTTGAAGGGGTTGTGGGCCTACTAGAGGTTGGGGATGAAACGCGACTGCTATAGGGAGAAGCAGGTTGGCTACTATATGGTGTTGTTATGCGACTATCATGAGGTGTGGTTCTCTGACTCAAACTAGTTAAAGAATCTTCCCTAAAGAGCTCAGCCTCAGATTTTTTATCAAATTCAGATTCGTAATCACTCAGCCACACAGTAGAGTAAAACCTGTCTGATGGCGAGGCCTTTGGTTTGCGCTTCCTAATGACATTCTTTACTTCAGATCTCCAGCTGTGCACTGCATGGTATGTGAAAAATGTTGGCAAATTATGTAGGGCTTGAAGCAAGCATGGCATAAGACCTCTTTAGATGATGATGCAGGATGATTCACAACAAAGATTTTCAAAACAAAAACAAAATTAAAAACTTTCAATGCATAGTAACATAGCATGAAGGAATATCRTTGAGATTTCACACTACGATGCTGTTAATTTGTTGCCATAAAGCTGACTTCTCTAGTTGCATTTGATGCATTGTTACAAGAAAAATCATCACTGCAAGTCATCCTGAGCAACATCATCATAGCTGTTTAACAGTCCAAGAACAGAAAATGTTTAAAGCAGCTGACGGAACCCGCCCATTCTAAGCATCCAGGAAAAAGGGGGGCAATGTTTTAAAAGTAATGCTGAAACTTACAATTCTATTTTCTAATTCACTGAATTTTATATCTATTTATAATTTGAATAAAGGTTTAAATTGTTTAAGGTTAGAGTTTAGGATTTAGCTGAATCAAACAAAACATTTCGTTTATGGGGAAAAGTTTAGTTTAGGTACTTTAGTATTTAGAATTTTGTTAATTCTTTATATAGTTTTATAAGACGTGTGACAGTTTAGTCCTCAAATGTTATAATGAATGATTTTTCTTGGTTTTTAAGGCTTTAAAAGACACATAAACACARAATAACAATGGGGGAGTTGCCAGATTCTACAAATGATATTTACTGTCAACAAAATGACATTAAAATTGCAAAGAGAAAAGTTGACAAAACTAATTGAATACTGTTAAAAATTAATTGCAAAGCCAGACCTAAAATTTTATCGATACCCTGAAACAACCTTTGGGCTGATTAAGGTCAATGCAAAGCAAACTCACAGATTGAATTGGAATTTACAACTGTAGTGTGTCAGGTTTTGCAGAGGGAGGAATCGTGTAGCCATAAAGTTTTGAGAAGTAATACTTCATTTTATTTCAACAGTACAGGATGGTTATGTCAACCCTTCTAGAATTTTCAATAGAATTCATTTTCTTCTCCAAGATAAGGATGTGTACTGTTTTAAAGGGACAGAAGATACATGTAGTTCCTTAAACTTATACCCATCTTACCTGAATCTGAAGCTGTATCCCTCTCAAACACGTTAGCTGGGTATCTGTAATAACAAGTTAACACCATATTAGCTTCTGGGGTGGAATGTTAGCCCATGTTTCATTCCCTTTAGTATGATTCCTTTGTTTTAAGGAATGATTGGAATAACAGATCTGAAAAGTATTTGATTTGGACTTACAGCTCATCATTTAAATTTGCCATTCCAGATGGAGTCTGAAGATAAAAAGAGAAGGAAAAAAAATGAAACTCTTTTCTACTTTTTGGTTGAATTACTGAGAGGCTTTGGGTGCATATTAATGCTGTAAAAATTTATTTATTGGGCAGTGAGAGAATCTCCTAGACTGTATTACTAAGGTAACCAATTTTTTTTAGATCAAATTCTGAAATGACCACTGCATAAACAAATAAATGGGATTTAACAGTGGCATTTCCACATAGTTGCACTTCATCCACTGAATTCCAATTGGGATTTAGAAGTTATTTTAATTTTGTGGGGGGGGGGGGGGGGGGGGCAAAGAAACACCATTGAAGCACAGGAGAAGTGCTCTTTGGTTGAACCACTCTATTCACATACAACACTGAGCCAGGAAGGACTAGAACCTGGGTTGCATGGGAGGCAAGCGCTCTCAATGCTATGTCACCCATGCTTCCCACTGGGCTAATTCAGTCAGGTTATGGCAAATTCAGAGATGGAATTGGACTTTATCATTTAAACAATACTTACCTTTCTTCCTGTTGAACTAGGAGACTTGGAGCGGTTTGCTGCAAATGAAGAAAACAATGGGATATTATTATGAAAGTACTTGTAAAAACAGGCCATAGTCAGTGAAGGCTTAACCGTCTATGATGAATCAGGGAAATAAAATGAATTAACAAATGATTGAATGTATGAACTAACTAATGAACGAACAAACAAATGAACAAACGAAGAAATCAAAAACAGACTAGAGTACAAATAACTAAAACTTACATTTAGGGGTGTGTCCATTAACCTACAATTTAATCAAAAATTAATTATTTTTAGCATCGTTTTAATCTGCGGCATAAACCTGATTCTCTTGCAAGGGTACAAGTATGTCTTATATATTATACTTTACAGAGCATTGTGTACTTACCCTGTTACCTGGAGGACCTGGACTAACACTTCTACCTCTTGAACCTTTACCAGCACTTTTCACTATGGAATACAAATAGTTAAATAAATAATCAACTCACAAAACACTGTGATATATACAAAGCTAAGAAGATATCGATATGATATAAATATCAAGGGTTAGCACACACTGCTAACACGTCCTCTTTTACCACAGTGGTTCCAAAGGTCTGGGTCACTGTTTTGAGCCCTGCAGACACCTATACACTGTATGTGAAATGAGTTTGTTTGTTGTTTTGGTTATCCCTTATGTTACAAGAATTTTCTCTAGGTTTTACAGCTTCCTCCCTCTCGTAAAAATCAACATGTGAGTTAAGTGTTGTATGTATAGAACATTGAATGTGATGATAGTGTTAAAAGTGTCCGCAATTAGTGCGAAAGCTCTAAAAGGACTAGACACTTAAATAGAGATCATTAATAGATTTAGGTAAGAATACACTTGTTTTAAATGATCAGATATATTGAAATTTAAAATAATGGGATTTACCATTCCTATTTTCAKTTAGTTTTTTTCATAAGGTCTGAAAAGCAATACCTGAATTAGAACGACGCACAGGACGACTTGGAGTATGCCCACCTGGAAATATTATTATATTTTGTGTTTTATTTTTATGTAACTTTAATAATGTTATTTCATTTCCTTTTATATGTTTAGAATTTTAGAACTTTGTTATTTGAAGGTTGAGAATGAAACATATTCTAAAATAATGATAACATGTATATTAATAATTCACTAAAATAGTTTTACATATCTTAAGTCTTTTATGTTTTTTTTAAATATTTCCTTAAGAAAAAATAAAACAAAATACTTAATGAATTTTTTTTTTAGATAAACTAACTACTTTTTATGTCTCAACAATATGAAAGAGGCTCATAACAAGAAGGTTCTGGTGATAAATCTTTGGAAGAAAAAGGCTACTATTTTTTTAATGTTTTGAAATAAATTGTTTTTTAAACATATTTTCAAATCAATGTTTGAATGTGTACTCTATGGGGGCTAGTGGATTACAATAATGGGTGGGTAGTAATGAGGTATAGGTACTGATATTGGTGGTTAGTAAGGAGGCATAGGCAATGAAGGTCGTTAGTTTATAATCATGAGAGGTGGTTAGTAAGGAGTTATAGGCCAATCTTTGTTTACGTTTTTTCCTCATTAGCATAAAAAAATTTCCAGCTACAAGCAGACTGACTCCAGAAATCAAAAGAGAAGGTCTTATTTAGTAACTATACTGAAATTTGAGGGCAACATGTTCAATAATTTGAGATTAAAATTTGAAAACACTATAAATTACAAAGAAATGTATGGTTGTACATTTCTTTGTAAATCATACCGCTTTTTAAAAAATTTTACTCTCAAAATATTGAACATATTACTCTCAAATTTTCAGTAGTTACTAAATAAGACATTCTCTTTCGATTTCTGGAGTTAGTTTGCTTGTAGCTTGAAATTTTTTATGAAAAAAGATAAACAAAGATGGTCTTATAGACACTGAGGGAGATTAGTTTATAATCATAAGAGGTGGTTAGTAATGAGGTATAGACACTGAGAGTAGTTAGTCTATAATCATGAGAAGATGGTTATAGATGAATGGGCATTTGAAGCAGTCAGGCTAAAGTTTACTTACCATCTTGAGAGCCACTGTCTCTGTGTTGTCTAGGTGTGCGCAGAGATGAAGACCTCTTTAAGCCACAAGGCCTCTTTAAGTCTCTGTATGGAGTTATCTTGTAATCTGAAGGGGAAGACATAACGCCTATCGTCTTTATGCTTTCAATTACCGTATTTCCACTATTAAGCCTTCTGGGGGTTATTCTTTTTTCAGTGCTTTTGGACTGGGGGATTATTAGAAGTGGAAGCTTTTAATAAATTTTCTTGATCTTTGGAAATCCATAATTGTTGTTATCTATAATCTCAAAAGATTCATTCCAGTGAAGGTCCACGGAATTTCAAAGTGTTTGCAGCTGTGCATTATTTGGTATTTATTAATATATTTTGTATACTGTAATGAGGCTAACCCTATAAAATTGAGTCTGTGATCAAGGAACTCAGTGGTATTTGACTAATTCAACTATTCCATTCCTTGTGCAAATGCATGGCCATGATTAGAGCAGACAAATTTTAACAGCGACACAAAATCAACCTATCAAAAGCAACCATTCTAATGGAATATTGTGACAGGATTTTTCCTCATAAATATTAAAGACTAAATCTTCATAGGGGGATAAAAAGTTTAAATGGAAAATGAGACTAGGACAAGTAAACAATGAGCTTCCGACATACAAAAACAACAGTACTGACAGAGGTTCTGACTAACTTTTTATTAGGAAATACAGTTCTGGAAAATACAATCATCTTTTGACTACCATTCATAAAAATATTACAGTAACGCTCTAAAAAAACATGTCTACTCTTAGATCTCAACCGACCTTTCACTTAACCATTCATTTTGAGTTAGGAACTTAATTTTGGAATGACAAAATAACACAAGAAAAATGTATGGAGGGGTTTTGAATGAATAATGAAATACTACAAGGAACATCCATGGGATTAAGAAGCTAATTTAAAGCATGTTTATAGAGAAATATTCAACTTCTTAACTTAAAAAGAGCCAGGGTAATCTTGATGACTAGCAAGCTATATCTAAAGTGTGAAATCCACAAAGAAATTACCTGCTCAAAAATGAATGGTCTTGTTTTTGGTCTTCATTTCCTAATTACCCATTCCCTTATCCCTCCCATCTTTTTCCCATCCCTTTATCCTTCCTTCACTGTTCTACCATTCAACTAACTCAACACCTTGGTGTTTAGTTTTGTCTATGGTTTGTGAGCTAACTGTTACACTCTTAAGCCAATGACACAATAGGTGATTTTATACTCTTGTTGGAGCAAATTTTGATCATCGCCTGAAAAATCGTGATGGTGTCTGCTATTGTGATGGTGAATTTCCATAGAAATCTTGATTGGCACGACCAGCGATCTAAATCAGCGATATCTGGCATGTCAGATATTTGCGATCAAAGTCACTGGAGATTCATGACAATGAATATTTGCTCCAGCAAGCACATCAAATTGCTTAGTGTGTTGTCAGCTTTAATCATCATATCCTATCCCACCATCCATCAATGTTTCCTATCTTACTCAAAAATCTGAGTTTTCAGTAAAATTAGACTATTTTCATTTCTTAAATCTTTCTGCATTAAAATAATTCCATAGGAATATCTCTTGAAATACTTTTAACACAATTACTGAGGTGAGATATAAAAGAATTGAAGATCCTAAAAACCCTTACTTACTTGTAACAAAATCCCGCACAATTCTCTGTGCTGCTGAGTAAAATTGCTTATATTCAAGAATAAAATTTGATAAATGATTATTACTCTGTTAAGAGAGGTTCTGTTCTAAAAACCTGAACAGAATGATCAAGAATAGAATATTTAAGGAAATTATATTTATTTTTATTTGTTTACAAAATAAAGAACAAGAACATCTATTAATCCTAACTTTAACAAACTAAGTACTCCTTTAGAAAGACAAAAATATTTAAATTTAAGAAAAGTCAACCAATGTGAAATATATTATCAACGGTTGGTAGTTTTTTTATCGGGGATTCAGAGCGGAGGGTCGCCATTACAAATGTAAACTTTTGTGTTGGGTCAAACCTTTTTATTTTGGCAAAACCCATTGCTTTGATGACTTAGACTTCATACCGAGTGAAGGGGAAAGAACTAAAGGCATATTTTAAACCTTTACTGCAAATCCACCAGTTATCTCCCCGATAACAAAATTACCTTCTCTAATAGAAAATGGAAAGAATACAAAATTTATGGAAAAATAGTAAAATTGAATAATGATTTTCTAATACATGAAAAATATTAGTATTAGTAATCGTTGAAATTACATTCCTACAGACCTTCTTCTACCTCTTACTTAACCATTTCTGCCAAATTTCTAAAATTCAAATGATTATTTTACAAATCATGTTGTAAAATCTAACTTATTTCTTTGACATTTTTGAATAGTTTTCCATGGATTCCAGTGATTCTGCTAAAAAATCCCCTAGAACATTATTTTTGATTTGATATTCCCACTACATTACAGTATTGATAACAAAAAGAACATGATGAAGTTTATAATTCTCCTCGCTTCTAGTTCAGTAGAGCAGCATATGCTCAAAGGAGAATATAGATATTGATCAGAAGTATTTGTGACTACTATTGWTGTTGCCCTCCATCCCCAAAAAATATTATTCCGCAACACATGCAACAATCTTAGTCAGCATGCTTTATAAATTTTTATGCATAATAACTACTGGCAACGACTAATATCATAAACTATAAATCTTTCCTATCTTATTTTAACCAAAAACTAGAACAAAATGCACAAACATCTAAAATATTACTACAAAAATTACTAAAGTTACTAAAATTACTGATACTAAAGTTATGATAAGCAAAAACTTATCTTGACAGAAAATGTGATAAAAAAGAACTGCTTCAACTTCAGCACCATTATTAACACAACTTATCCATTACGATAACTTATAAATATTTATCTTTAAAGGCAATTTATATTATTTTGAGAGCACCGTTTTCCTTTGTTTAATACATGCATTAATATTAATAATGATTTAATAATAAACTGAAATATAAAGGTAATGTTAAAGTAATTTATAGATAGCATTTAATACTCTGCGCATCCTACGAAGTATATAGGAGTTGTCTGAACTTAAACAATAAACTAATATTTTTCATAAAGAATATTAAATGATAATAATATAATATTGATAATATATTTGTAAACACAGAAACTGTTATGGATATACATATTGATAAATTTAGTCCTTATATTTTTTCAAAAAGAACGAATAACAGCACTATATAGTTTTTAAAGATTTTTGAGAACGGTTTGAATTCTTTTTTCCCAACCATGTGTCCAGTGACGTTAAATGGTTGGGAACAATTAGAACAAATATCTAGTTTCTTGATGATATTTGAAATTAAACTGCATTTTTTACAGCTTTTTAAGCACAAATGTTTGCAAACTGCAATTTTTAGTGAGAGCTTTGGAAATCTCAAACAAACCCATGTTTTGTGTATTGCAAATGCAATAATTGTAACCCTTAACTGCATCCACCTCTAAGATATACATCACTTTCAAAGGTTTCCTAAAGGCTGGCTTCAAGGGAATTAGTGTTTTCAAAGTTCAGCTGGATTGGCTTCAAATCTGGGGTAGAATCTCTCTTGACATTTTTTTCACTTTCCCCATCGCTTTCAGTTTCCGATCCCACCAAGTCTATAGCAAGCATGGGACGTACAGAAGCCATTGGTTTCCCATCGGCATTGGGTTGATGTTCTGTGAAAACCTTTTCTCCATGTACGTAGATGTAGTAGCCATGTCTTCCTTCATGTATGACTGATCCTTCAGTGGAATCACAGTTGTTCTCCCCATCTTGTTCTGGAGGGGTGGCCTTTGGAGGACGACGGATGGCAACAGGTGTGTATGAGCCTGCTTTAGGCCTTGGTCTAGGCTTGATTGCTATAGGTTTCTCAGAACCTGCCTTTGGCTTACCAGACGGAGCCTTGAAAGGATTTTTGGAGAGATTCTGCATCCGTGTTGGAGTGAGTGACTTGGGACCAAGATCAGGTGTCCTGGTACCCAAAGCAGTCTTGGGTCTAGACTTGGGTACAGTTGCAGCCCTTGGGGTGGGTGGATTTGATGTTCTGGGTGTCCTTGGTTGGTACAGTCGAGGGGAGACTGACCTTGCCCTTGCCTTAGCAGACTTGGGTCTAGGCGAATTGTAAGGCGATGCTGCCAGAGCATCAAGGATGCAATGTAGATGGGTGGTAAATTCTCTATAGGGCGGCAGGGAATCAGGTCTCAAGCCAGGAATATATGGAGTGGATAATGGAACGACACTAACTTTCCATGGTGGACGACCCCCTAAAGTCAAACATTTTTGGAATTCTTTTAGTTCAATAATCAAACAAATGCAAATTGCATTCACCATGCGAATTTGTGTTGCTGTTGCATAAGCAAGGACTTCAAAATATTTGTGTCTAACATTCCATATATCCCTGGCTTTTTTCCATAAACATGGGTTTCATAAAAAGGAAAAAAAGTGCTGTGTTTAATGCCAAAAGCTGCCACATAGAGAGAAAAAATGCCTTTGGCTATAAAACTAGATATTGATTTCTTAGTAAAAACACATTTTTAATCGATAATTTCTAAGTAAAGACTACAAACATGTTGAATTCTGTCCTGCTTACACAATAGCCACACTGACTTAGTAGAATCCTGGATCGTGATGGATTTGATGTGTGCTAGCATGCAGAGCATGTGCGACAGACATACAACATGGATGAATGAATCAATAAATATCAAACAAAGATTAAAACAATAGAATTATATTGATATTTATCATAATAAGTGCTTAGGAAAGACCCAAAAATAACCAAATAATAATAAAATTCAATAAAAGGAGTAATTAAATACAATGATTTTAACCACTGTCCTGCTCTTCTGCATTAAATAATTAAATAGCTTGGATCAATTTTTCATCTCTGATCAACCAAAAATGTATTTCCTTGAATAGATTTAGTTTTCGTTTTGTTAACACATGAGGCGACACAACTAATACTCATCAGAATTGACTCTATAGATACATGAAATTAATATTAAAAAACAGAGGGAGGCCGTACATGTATATTCTTATCACAAAGAATGCCAAGGGCCCAAAATTTATTGAAATGCAGATAATTTACATTGACCTTCAGAAGGGTGCGATAAAATATGCAATTATGCCTACATGTGGTCTGTGACATGTCATTTCCGATTGTAAACTCAACTCAGAAAAAAAATTACACTGAATCTTTGGAAAATGATTAATACATTTAGACAGCTGACTAGTTTTTCTCAGTACAGAAAATTAAGCAAGGCACCTTAATGTTGGTCATGTAGTAGGGTGTTGTTTTTCATAAAATTACCTGAAGTTACTAAACTTGTTGAAATCAACAGAGCAGAAATTTATTAATAAATCGCACATCAGGGTATAGAGAGGCTCCCTTTGTGAAAAAGTCAAGCTCCGCCATCCAACCTTGACTTTGATTTTGTTTGACGATACAAGTTCAGACATGAAGACTACAAACTTAGTAGAAATCAATGAAACAGACTAACAGAACCTCCACGTGATAAAATGATGTAGGAAGCTCATGTTAATGAAAATTGGTTGGGGGGAGGGGGGGTTCATCACAACACAAAACAAAAATAGAAATGAGTTTTTTTAAAGATGGGCTTAATCTGACTGCACATTTTTATATTATGCTTCTCATTGGAGTTTGTTTTGCTGCCATCAATCAAAAGTATAAGCCTTAAAGAGAGAGATTATTTTTGATAAACGACAGAGACAACAAGATTCGGATTCCAAGATTCTAAATAGTGGATCAAAACTGCAAAGTCTGCATAATATTAAAAACTGCAATAATAACAATCTCGAGATGATATTAAAGGAATTTAATTTCAAAAAGTATAGATGATAAAATATTGACTTACTTTGGATCTCAACATCAAATCCTTCCTCTGGTGGCTTCTCTGTTGAGCTGAAGGCTACAAATATCATGTCATCATCAAACAAGTCGCGCAGAGTACGAATCTGAAATAAGAGAAAAGCCCTTTTTTAATACCTTAATATTTGAACACTAAAAGTTTAAGGCCCACATGTGTMTGGATATTTTTGAAAATTTTTTTCTTTGGGGATTGGATTTCTGTGAAAACGAAGACACTAGGTGTGGACGACAACTTCATTTTCTGAAAACAGAATTTAAATAATTATGTTTTCAAAAACATATCCAGATATGTGTGGATTTGGCGCCTAAAGGATTCCCCTAATTTTGGGAGGGGGGAGGAGGGGTTAAAAATAGAATTATAATAATTTTTCTAATTATCAATGTTGTCAATAAAACTGAGTAACCATCTAGGAGTTGTCAAACTCAAGCATTTTATATCCAGTAAATAATGTCATAACAACATGTAATTTAAATATTAATGTTTGGCATAGTTATGCGTTACCACATTAATTAAGAAACCCATGGACATGTATGCCGATACATTTGAGCTTATGACATTGACTAAACGATAGGATGCACATATCAAAACAATGCATCTATTAATTAAGTAAGATGCACACTAAACTGCTTTATTTGACAAAAAAAGGAAATATTTCATTAAGTTTGAGGACAAAATGTATTATTTGCATCCTACTTTTTGACCAAGTGAAAAAATAAATGATAAAAAACAAAATGTCTCTTTCCATTTTATCTTTCAATTTTGCCTACTTCAGGATAAGATAAGTTGGTTTCTCTACTTCCCAAAAATACACAAGTTACTATTAGCCATAGCAAAAATGTGTGTGTGTTCACAATTATTTTTACAGACTGAGTCATAGTGATAGGAATGAGATCATGGAGTTGAGTGTGCCTTAAAGATAAACATTAGAGCATTTATTTGAATGATTTATTTGAGAGACTCTTTTTAATCATATGTGGCATTTGACTAGTGCCAAATATAGGCAAAAGTAGGAAGCAAATACTAATTAAACTATCCGACTCAAAGTCTAAGAATATGGCATTTCCATGGCAACAAATATGAGAATCAAAATAGGAAGACAAGAAGTCTTTCGCTTTAGCTTCCATTATCATAAAGCTAAAATATATTGAAATATTCAAGTTTTTCAATGTGGAAAATAAAACAATATTTTGTCACTCGCTAAAGTGGGCAAAATAGATTGGTCTCCAAAAATAGGTCTATTAACAATAAGTTTAAACGGGTTTTCGTTTTCATTCATTTGTCAGGAAGGAGTTTAGTATTATCAATGTGGGAAATGAAAAATTTTTCAGCTGACAGATTATTTTGGCAGGTGAAATATTAACTCTCTCAAGTATCAAGTCATTCCCATTACAGCAGACTTTATCTGATATTCAAATGAATATATCTCAATGCAAAAATATATCTCAATATATCTCAATGTAAAAAAATCAGAATTTTCATCAGACAGACAGCAAAAGACAATTTTAATTTTTTTCATGAATGCTGATTCCCGAAAATTCAAAAAAATCAACTAAAGACTTTATGACATTTGCCAATAAATTGTAAAAAAATTCAAATACATATTGCTTCGAAATTAATCATATTCATTTTTTGATAGGTTGGGAGATATTAAGTTTAACAAGGGAGTATGTGGAGAATATGCCTTGCCTACACAGATAAAAAATCAAGTCTGGGCCACACCTTATCTGCTGTTTGTAATCCATTTTCATTGGTTTACATCTTTATAAATAATTATATTTAAAGCTGTCAAAGGCTAACAGAAAGCAGATGAAACGGTACTGATGAAACCTACATTAGACATTACACATCATTTAAGATTTTTCAAGGGTTTTAAGGTCTTTTTGCATTTGATTTTATTAAATTATGAGAAACCTTCTAAAACCACAGATTCAGTGCAGAAATATATTAAATTTTTAGCATAATTTGAAAGCAAATAACATTTTTTCAAAATCTTAGCTACAGAAACAAGAATAAGCAATGTTTAAAACAACCTTAGAGCTTTAAATTGAATAGTAAAACCCAACAAGAGTGTATTTTACGTATATGGATGTCAACTCAATGAGAATAGGTCAGACCTAGAGAACGGTTAAGGGTTTCATTTACATCATGCAATGACTAGAGATTAAAACCCAGTATACAATGGCTTTGAGGTTAACAATTCATATATATATCCCACCATGAGAAGAACAGCATCATGGTATCATGAAATTGAAAGATAACTCGATATTATCATTCTGAACAATGATCTCAACAGGGGAAAAATTAAGATGCTTTAACCACTTGTTGATCTATAGACAGTGAAGTTTTCAGCCATTAAAATGTTAAGCAGGAGTCCAAAAATGAAAGAAAAATATACTTAAGTCTTGTAAATATGGTATATTGGGATTTCCATTGTAGATGCTGGACTCTGACTATGAAGAAAAAATATATTGGCTCTTGTCTGAATGATAAAACTAGACAATGGTCTCAATAATGGTGTTTCTATAAACGTTGTACATCAGAAGTTTTTTTTTTCAAGGTAAAATTATTCATTTTCGTTTTATGATAAAAGCTATTTGTTTAAATGAGCGGTAGAATAATGTAATTAACTATTTCAAAATGAGAAACGTCAAACTATTCAACAAAAACCCAGACATGGATGTTATTTTAATCATAAAAAGCAATTCTGTAGCATAAAAAAATACTTTTTTAAAAGTAAAGTACCATATACGTAGTAAACTAGAGTATTAAGCTAATCTATATATAGTCAGGAGATCAAAATGCTCATGACAATGAATATTTTTTGAAAGCACCCAAAGCTGATAAATTATTTTTTGAACAGCTGTTTTTAACATAAAACTGAGACCAATTTTTGATAAATTTGAAAAACATTGGACATCTACAATAAAATGTTGTATACATGCTTTATAAGATGGATTTGAGAGATAAATATATTCTTTTCTGTAAAAGGAAAATTTCAACAAGTTTCTGTTAGTAAACTTAGAGAACAAAATTTGCACAAGAAAGGTGATTTTCTTTAAAATTACTGCATGATTTAAAAACACAAAAGACATTTTTGAGATTTGAATATGAAATTATTTTAGGTGTGGTCCTGAGATGTATGGAAATAATGAATTTGTCTGATAGGAGAAAAAGAAAAGAATAAAACTTCTGTTAAACGATTTTATTTATTTGTCAGTATCAGTTTACTTGAAATGAATTGAGAGGATTACTTTAGGATTAGAGGCTGTTTGCTGATGTAAGTCAAACAGAAAGCAATGACTAGATTGACACTATCTTTGACTCACATGTGCGCATTTGTCAACAGTATAACAAACATAGGACACATTTATCAAATATAAAGGGAGACTACAACATGCGAACTTGGAAATCTTTGTATTTGCAGTTCATCGAACCTTAAGAGTCATTTTCATATGAATGGACTGTAAAAATATTACRCAAGAAGGGCCATATTGATCAAAATCAAGATTATCTTACATGTATATGGTCTAGCGTTTTTGGAAGCCGTTGGTCATCCTCATTAGATTGGGATAGGGGTTCATGACCCCTTAACTTATTTGATCAAAGTTGTTATTATGAATCTATAAAAAACTCTGGACTCCAGCATGCAAGAGAATATAGAAGTATGATTGAGTAACTGCTCCCCATTAAATCATTAAGACTGCTTAACAAAAAGAAAAAAGTATCTATCTAAACAAGTTTGCTTTGGATTTATGTTAACTGCTAGACATTCAAATACTCTAGGATTTTCTTTTGAATATTGATGTGTCATAGCGCATAAGTCCAGACATGACCTAATTGAGTAGGAAAATGAAAATTTGATGGAAATCGATTTATGGTTTTCCTGAGATAAGAAAAGGAAGATTAACTAGACGCCAAAAGCACATGTTTTCTGAATAGATCAAGATTGATGAACCTCTGGTTTGTAAGAAATAAAACAGAGTAGGACTAAACAGTGTCTTGCTAGGTCTCCAAACAAAAAAAATTTGCACTTGAAAGATTCTAAAACATCGCACGTACTTCAAGCAGATGATTAGAGATGATCGATCTATATATTTTTGTTTATTCCAGACAACAAGCGCGGTAGCTATAGGTGAAAAGTCCCTTGAGACAACCTACTAGTATATCATTAATAATAAAACGATCAATACACGTGGCGAAATAAACCCTCCATCAAAAGAATTTTTAAATTTGTCGCAAAGGATTCCGGCACGATTGACAACAAATATTATTGAAAAGTGCTTGAGATTAAACTACAGACTTCGTAGATTTACTATGACACTTGAAAAGAATACGATGGGGTGCTTCTTACTTGAAATTTCACGTTGATATTGAATAAAATAACCTGCTAATAATATAAATGAATGGAATTCAATGGTAGTCGTGTCTTAACTGGAATATGGTAAAACGTATACAAAGAGCGCGCTTCGTCTAAAGTGTTGGAGAAAAAATATTTATACCATTTATATTTTCTTTAGTTTTAAGGGTTGTAAGTGGACAGTGATGACCTACACATATAGGTATTCGCAGAGATCAGAGTAAAAAGCCGTGTATTTTTGATGCCGCAAAGATCAGATAGTCACATTTAGGTGGAATATTCATGAACATTCGACAAAAATTATTGCAGTAAAATAACCCCATAAAATACAAATAAAAAACTCCCTACTAAAATAATGGTTAAGGAATAAAAAAGATGTTCTTTAGGATAAAAGTATTACTGGTAATGAATATTTAATGCCCCAATGGACAAGAAATGGTTTTTCTGAGACGTAATATTTAGCGAGCAAAGGTTTCTTTTTTCCTTACCATTTTTCCGGAGACAGTGTACAACTTATCCACTTTTCCTAAAGTCCCCTTCGCTGAAAGATGATCCAGGACTTGATTAAGAGAAGCTGCCGTTTTCCCGTTGAGAAGCATGGTTACTTTCTTTTGTGGCGGTTTTCCATTCTTTATTACGGTGACCAGTTTAGGTTTGATGAAATCCCGAGGGCCGCCACTCTGTAGTACTTCTGGTTCATGACTGCCTTTTCCATCTGTCCAGTTGTTCAGCTCATCTCGGAGGGCTTTTTTGTTATGAAGAGACCACTGGGGTTGGTTTTCCTTCCCGTATCCTCCTTCTACGTCTCTGAAGCTATTCGAAGACGAACAAACGTAACTCATACCATACTGTAGCTCGTTTATATCTTCTATCATCTTCCCCGTTTCAGAGCAGAATACGTAGCGTACTGCTCCTGTGGGAAGGTCTAGCTTCGACGACAACTCGGCCAGTAGAGAATCCCATTCTTTGTAGCGCTCAGCTGAGACAGCCAGCTTAAGACCACGAAAAAATTTGTCCCCATTTCTGTAAAAACTTATTTGTTTGGCGTTGAGACTTTGGTTTCTTCGTAGGAGCGAAGTTCGGCCATAGGCATCTCTACCGTTCATTGAACCTCGTGAGTTTGAACGAGTGAAGCCAGGCGAGGGAGAACGGTCGCCATTCATCATGCCATTTTCCATTCTTACAGCTCGTAAGGCAACTAAAAAAGAAGAACCAACGTTAATAATTCAAAATCTACCCTTTGACAACAAAACAGGACCAGAAACTCGAACAAAAACACGGGGAAAACTGAATCTTAAAGCAACCCACCTCAGCAGAGGCGACAACTGAGGTTCTAGTTTGACGTCGTTGGTCGCTTCTCCTTCACAACACCCAATAAAATCTTTCACTCTCGGCCAATGAATTTTCGCCTTCAAATTTGCCCGAAGAGACAATAATCATAATCTCATATTATATTCTAAATCCGCTGAGGTCCAAAACCACCTGTGCTAGRAGTAACCTTATAAGAAGAGTAGAGCATATGATTATTTGAACTGACTTGGCAACCAAGTGTAATATTTGGCCTTGTAGTGAAATAATAGTCCATTCTGATTGGTCAATCTCCGGTCTATTATTGTCCATAAGAAGGCTTCTTTGTCTCTGTACCAATCAAATCGCAGGATTTTCTTTCTGGTTGTGAAATTCAAGCAAGTACCAGCATTTCCTGTGATCCTACTTCCGGACATGAAATTTTGGGTTAAAAAATCAGGAATTCGTTTTCTGAGTTAATTTTTTTTTGCCTTAGAGAAAAACTCTACATGAATTACTTAAATTGAAAAAAAATGACAAGCATCTTGCCTTTCAATCTTTGGTTTTAAAATGTAAATAATATCTGACACCTATTGTTCGATCAAAGAGATAAATAATTCATGAATAGTTTGTTTGGAGAATTCCTTCGCCTTACAAAGGAACTGCAAGTGCCAAGCCCTACTACTATATTGATCGGATTTAACTACTATGAAAATGTTTTCTAATTTATTTTATTCCAAATAAATAATCTTTTTTCTTATTTGAGAGGTTTTTGTCAATTATAATGGCATTTTTTGATTTGCAATTCGCGATATGACACCAGTTGAGTTAACAAAAAACACGGGTATTACATTATAGGTTGGCCAAACATTTTACAAAAAGAAATAACATTGAAATGGTACTTTTATCCTAACAGCAATTAAATAAATTTTAAAAGCTTACAAATAAGTTCTCGAAATTTTGCTACTAATCTAAATATTATCTACTGAAAATATACGCTAAATTTTTCAGATCTAAATCCCTAAACACCTGTGGAGATYTTGTGTTCATTTTTATCAAACAACGCTTAGAAATATTCTCAGGAAAAAAGGGAAAAAAGGATCAATTAAAAGCATCTCTTTAACTGCATTTCCTTTTTCAGACATATCAATGAAAGAACGCGAAATATTTTTGTAACAGATCTTAAAGATAGTAGTTTCATATCTTGAAACTATATTAATCAAGTTATTCTCTTTTTCATAAATATTAGTTTAATAGAATTGTAGGTTTGTGGTAAAAATACTAAGAGGGGGGACTTTGATATTTTCTAAATTTGAATCAAAATTTATCAATTTACCAATCTTACCTTGTTCCAATATATTGTCCGTACGAAAATTAGTATAATATTGTAGTTCGCTCATATATGAAATACCGGGTTATTTTCCCTAGAAAGTGTTAAGTTGATTTTCCCAAGACGAACGTGAAACGTGACAGTTTCAAGTGCAATTAAAAAAGTATTTTTAGTAATTCATCTGCGTAGCACTGTGATTGGGAATATTTATTCATTGCAGTACAAGATATTCTAATGAAGGGATGAATGAATCTCTAGGGTGTAGCCAACTCCTGTTGCTTGAGTTATTTTATCAATTACCGATAAAATCGACGCATTTGTGGTTCAGGTCAAATCTCTCAAACAAAAATAAAATCATTTGTGATTGATTTTAAAGAAATAAGTTTAGCTCACGCCTTGCCTATCAGCGATTCATTATCAAAGAATCCTATTGACTRTGCATATTTCACATCCGAACAATTTTCTTAATGGGGAAAACTAAATCCACTCGTTGACGGGCATAGATACACTATAGTTTTTGTCATGCCTCCCAAATATCAATATTTTTTTCAAACCATGCCAATGATCAATTCGTTTGAAGAACAATGTAAGGTCTAATCTCAATTATTTTCTCATAMATATTCATTATTTAAAACCAAAGACCACAAATGCACGAGGCATGCGCAGTGGCGAATAGACTCGCTTTATTTTTGAGCGGGAAAATAATACGTGCAAGATGACTCTAATTAAAAATATATCCTATAAGAATTTTTTTTTTWAATCCGTAATACAAATATAGATTTTATTTATAAGTGATTTCTAAGCCATTAATTATCACCTTAAAAGGGCAAAAAATCGATAATAATCTTGCTTTTTGCATGATTCACTTTTGTAGTCGAGCGTGAAGATAAAAAAGGCGCGAAAACAATACTACAAGCCGAAATGAGTAATATTTTAAGCTACCATTTCTCTGCATATGTTAATAATATATTTAAAACATCTTGCTCAAAGACAATTACATTGAACTGTACGGAGAAACCCGAACCGGTTAATGATAATTGTGTGGCGACAGCTTGGAAGATCAGTAAGAAAGTCAAACAGAAATGTTCTTCCAATATTACCTAACTCCATCTTAAAATATAAGCAAGAGGTTGTTAAAAACTTTTGCAGAAACGGAATTTTTCCTTCGCCTAGTCTTCGTCTTAGCAGTTCACTCAACTCGTCCGCATCCAAAGCGACCGCACACATGTCGATGCGTTTTGGCATTGCGTTCACAATACTGAGAGACCCACCCACCCTCAACCCCAAAGGAGGAGGGGGGGGGGTGCAAAGTTTGAAAAAAGTTCAAACCCGTTTTATGTACTCTGGCTCCGCCGGATTAGCTGAGCTGATTGAAACGGAGAACGACGGCCATAGGCTGGCACCTAATAACATCATTTATCATGCATTAGTCAGTGATGAAGCGATGCTAATGCAAAGCAATTCAATATCTAAATCGAGCTAGGCAGTCTACCACACAAAAGTTAACAAAGATAAATAACCACTTTAGGCAGTGTTTTAATTGGTCCAGACTGATCACGCTGGTCGGAGATGACTTGATATTGGAACTTATGATTCTGTTATCATTATTGACGAATAATAGCCACTATGGCGTGCTGTTCGTAAGTCATTTATGGCGTGCTGTTGGTGAGTCATATATATATCCTTAGCGGCGGTTTTAGATGTAATATGGAAGAAAAAAGATGCTGATTTAATTATTATTTAAGGAAAGTGAGCACCATTGTCATTGATGGCAAGTGGCTTCGTAACCAACATGGCCGCCACATTTATTACTCAGACTACCCGTGCAATGCTCGATGTCTAATTTGCTGTTTCTTCGTTCTTTATTTTCCTATTCTGTGCCGAGGAAAGAAGAACACGTCAACTGAATTGAAACCTATTAAGCTTATTGCATATTTTCCATTCACATTGCTACATAAATATACCCTAGGACGCCCGAGTTTACGCCGAACATCATTTGGACGTGAATGTCACTTTACCCTTAGAATGATTATGTATATCATGGCTGCCACTTTTATTCCCTTAGGAATGATTTACATACCACCTATAGTGAACATTATCCAACATGGCTGCCACTTTTAATATTCTCTGAGGAATGATTACAAATTATGGGAATGAAGACCTTTCTATGGCAAGGAAATGGAAGCCAGTGTCACGTCTTCTTCCCTAAGCTCTAATGTAACATTGATAAATATTATAGGATCGAATGCAGCTTCTTTATCTTTTTCTAGTTTTTTTTTTTTTTCTTTTCTTTTTGTTTCTTGCCTTAATTATTAGTGTGTTTTTTGTATCAATATTTCATTTGTTGTAGTAGATAATTAATAAATTATATATTTTTTTAAATGATTACAAATCATCTATAGTGAACATCATCTAACATGGCTACCACGTTTAGTATTCCCTTAGGAATGGTTCCAAACCACCTATAGTTAGCATCATCCAATAAGGTCACTACTTTTATTCCTAAAGTAATATCTGACCACCTACTAAACACTACGCACTCTAAGTATAACGTTACGTTAATACCGATAATACCGTATCGTTCTATATACATTCTGCCCTCGAGTGCCATCTTAATACGTGAACATCCAAAGTAACGAGCCGGCAATCGTTCTTATGTATATTTTCAGAGATGGATAATTAAAAGAGTCTACATTTAAAAAACTCATGACAAGTATTTTTTGATCGCATTGCGATGCTGCTTAGGTGTTAACTAACATTTGGCGCCCCTGGGTATTGGATTCGCGAGGGGAAACTCCGGATAGAATGTGGGTAGTAATAGTGTAAGTAAGTCTTATAAATTAAGGATCTTTTCTCACTAACTGCAACAAATCATCCCCATCTCGATCGCTCCCCTCCCCCAAAACACACGCACGTCGCAAGTACTACTGCTCACGAGAAGATGGAAAAAAGCACCCCAGTAACCACGAAAGACCGTGGTCTATCTAGTTGTCTGTCTGTCTTTTTCTGTACAGTTGTTCAGACAGAAGATAAAGCGCTGGATACATCAATTTTTCAATATTTTTTTCGGTACTTTCATTGCGCATGCGTACTCAAGATTTCTYTTACTCTATCCCAATCTCGTACTCAGAGCCTGCGTTTCTTCTGGCCTGCGGTGAAGAACGAGGGCTCTGGCATTATCCATTTTTTGAGACCAGGATTTCTTGGACTTCCGGTATACCAGAGCACGCGTTCAAAGACTTACCAAAAATTAAAGATATTTTTTCCCCCGATTTTAAATTTTGACTATGATTTTGACTTTGATTTTGACTTTGATTAATTTGATCGGTTATATCTAACTTTCCGAAAATTGCGCATGCGCCAAAAATGGATCATGCCAGAGCCCTCGCTCTTCGCCGCAGGCCAGAAGAAACGCAGGCTCTGGGTACGAGATTGACTCTATCCATCTGCCTGAAAAACAGGTTTATTGTATCATTTTTATCTTTGTTTATGAATGGAAAATAACCGAAGACCATACTCTCAGACCCGAATGCTGAAGCGTCGTATGGCAGCGCGAAGCATTTACGGCTATGCCAGAGATTTCGACCCCAACACCGCTATCCCCGGGAGGAATTACAGCCTGATCAGGAAGCTCGGCAAAAGCCTAAGGGAGAGGTTAGTCGGCCCCTAGACCGTAAATGATTAACCCCTTGCTATGACCAGCAGACCTAACTTATCATTTTTTGTCGCTGATGGGTAATCATCCAGAGTCAATCCTTTCCATGTGGGACGCATTTTGAAAAACTTTCATGACGCATTTAACAAGTTCTACGCCAACTCGGAATGAAAATCAAAATTGGGGACTTATTTTCTTAGCTTTTATTTGTAAAATTATTTTATTTTTAAATAAGGAATTAATCTAGAAAGTCTATGCCTTAATTGATATA